TTTTTTTTTTTTTTTTTTTTTTGGTATCGGGGATCCAACTGTGAGGCAGATAACAGCACCACTGAACTAAATCCCTGGGCCCTAGGTTTATACTCTTTGGACTAGAAGTCTCTTTCTCCTCTCTGAACTGCTCAGGGAAAAGAAGAAAGCACTGGTTTTGAGAAGCAGAGTGCTCATGAGAAGTCTAGAAAGAATCCTCTAAGCATATCATTCTCTGTGTCCCTCCTGTGTTTCTCAAATTTGCCCAACTGACTAACAATTTTCCCACAGTAAATGTGAAAGTAAGGACTTTAGGGGAGCTGCCCTTGATTTGACTGACTTCCAAGAAAACCTATCCTTTTTTCTTTGTTGTCCTTTGTAGGTGGAGGTTGAGATCATAGGTATCTTGAGTTATGTGAGACAAATTCTTGTACTAGGAAACTTTTCCTTACATAGACAACAATACTTAAAATATCTATGGGTTGACCTTTGAAATACTTTAAGATAAAATCAACCTCATATCCAGTACTCTGGTTTCCACCAAGATTCTGTATTCTAACCACTATATAATTTCCATATATTTCATTTCTCTGTGTTAAGAACCTTGAAAGAACAATAACTTTAACTTTGGAGCTCGGGATGTAACTCAGTGGTAGAGTAATTGTTTAGCCTATGTGCGGCTCTGGGTACAATCCCCAACACTACACACACACACACACACACACACACACACACACACAGAGTGATCTTATAAAGTGAAGAACCAAGACTTGAAATCAAAAAACAACATCAACAAAAAGATTTGCAAACAATTTTAACAGTGCTATAATACAGCAATAATATATACATATGTCTGAATACAGGGTCGTATAGGATGTACCCTAAATGAAAGGACAAAAAGCAGAGAATTCCTTGTCAACTTTCCTGAGGGTAACTGTTAGGTCCAGTTTATTAAAGTAAGCCAAAGCTCGTATGTAGAACTGTCTGCCTGAACTCATATTAGCCAATTCTCCCAACAGTATTTCAGCCGAGGACAACAATATTTTGTTTTCAGTTAAGTGTAATACTGATGATTAAATGTCCAGAGATGCTCATATGAGCCTATATCCACTTCTGTGTCATCTAATGGTCACATATAAAATTACACATCTCAAAAAGATAGTGTAAATTCCCTCCTAAGTAAACTAAGTAAAGGATATGAGATAAAAATAAAAAATGTGATCACTACTGTCTCCACAGTACTTTGCACATCAAAGTCATTAATGCTTGCTGAATAAATGAATGAAATGATACACAAACATCGTAGTTTTAAATGTCCTCCTTCACATACACCCCTTTGTGTTACTATCTATAACCAGTTTTTAGTTGAAATTCTTATCAATAGACTACTAACCATTTTCCCTGTCTCTTTTCCTACCTCAATCTAATTAAAATATCAGAATAATCTTGAAGGGAAATATTTCTATTTACAAACTACATGTTTCTTGTGATAGCCTGAGTAAATTCAAAATTTTAATTTTTTTATTCTGAATAAATTTACTCAAATAATGTGCACATTCTGCATTCTGGTCTTGGATATGGAAACCTGAAATTTCTCCCAATATTACAAAATATAAATCTTTATTGTCCAGCTAACTAATCTGGATTGGCAGAACGTATATCATGCTTTTGTAACTCTAGACCTTTGCTTTTATCATACCCTGGGTCTGGAATTCAGTACTATGGTTTCACACACAGAAACCCTATCTGTCACTTCAAGCTTGAAGCTTGATGCTAGCTTTCCAAAGCCTTCCTGGGTCATCTAGTCTTGGAGTCCTCCTCTGTAGGGAACAGGGAAAGGGGATGTTAATAGAACTCCTTCATTGAGTTGTAGTCTCCTGTAAGCCACAACAGAACAAGGCAAATTAATGAATTAAGACAGAAAATGAGACCTAGAGAAGGTGACTTTTGGGACTGAACAATGCTGCTCTGGACAGCGAAGAGGAAAGACCCTGAGCTTGCCATACACCTTTATTTGGTACTTTGGGAGTAACTGATGACTCAGAGGGCAGTGGTGATAATCCTAGCACAATGAGGAGTTTATGTAGATGAAGGTTTTTTACCTCCCCAGGAAGTCTTCAAATAGTGTAATCCTGCCCTACAGCATCATAGCATCACCCTGTGGACATGCCATAGCCAACCTGTAGGCAGGAAAACTAGGCCTAATCATAATTTGTGAAATGACTTTTTCCCAAAAATTATGTAGAATTGCTCCTGACACTCCTTTGCAGTCATTTATTTTTTTTTAGAGCTTATGGTCTCGCTGCCTTATGCTATAAAGTTAGTTCAAAATTAATAGGCTGAGTCCTACCTAGTCCTTTACCAGACTTTGAAAGCAAGTGTTGTGATTGTCAAAAAAAAATTTTTTTTAAGTGTTTGGCATCATGTAAATATTGAAAAGATCAGTGTTTCCCAAATGTTTCAAATCAAAGGACTCTGTCAAAACACACATCACAGGGGAACGTGGTGGCACACACTGGTAATCCAGTACTCTGGGAGGCTGAGACAGGAGAACCTCAAATTCAAGCCCAGCCAGGGCAATTCAGGAACACACTGTCTCAAAAATTAAATAACAGGCTGGGGATGAAGCCCGGAGGGTTGAAAAAGCACAACAAAAGCAGCTATAAACTTTGTAAATTTATTACAAATACAGAAAAGTTCACATAACAAAATGTGCAGCTCATTTAATTTTTCCAAAGAGTCAAGCGAAGAGCTTTCATAAAACACAGTTCACCAGAGCCACAGAAGCCCTCTTAATGTCCCCCTTAGGAGGACCCTATTTTAATCAATTAAACGTGATAGTTGTACGTTTGGTGGAAGAGAGAGAATATGCATCTGTAGATCCCTGTGTCTCTAACTCCAAGGCTCTCTCACAAGTACCCCTAATTAAGGACCACTGCAAAGGGGTGGAGATTTTGTTGTTTAACTTGCACTTTCCATAAAAAAAGATGTTGGTACCAAATTGTCGAATAATAGCTAGCGATCACTTTAAAAACATGTACCACGCGTTCAGCCCCCTCGACAGATTCTCAGCACAGGTTCACCCTGGGGAAAAACCTCCTCCTCCTCAACATGGCCGCATGCGCGTCAGTGAGCAACATGGCCGCACTGCCAGACACGAACATGGAAATCACAGCTTCACGGCGCCCGGAAATGCGGGCGCGCTATTCCTCCAAAACCTGCAGTAGCTTTCTTTACAGCTTCCCATAGAGCCAGGAACCGGAAGTAAGTTTTCGTAGGGCGGATTTCTAAAGGATCTCCTTCCGGTTAGCCCTGGGGAGTTTGCGTGAGAATTGGATGCATCCCGGAGTCCCGGCTGGGAGGTGCTAGCCCGCCGCGTCCGATTCGATTGGAATCGCGTCCGGGCTGGGAGACCAGAATGTCCGACACGTGGAGCTCTATCCAGGCTCATAAGAAGCAGCTGGATTCGCTGCGGGAGCGGCTGCAGCGGAGGCGGAAGCAGGACTCGGGGCACTTGGGTGAGGCGCTGGGCCGCGGGGCCCAGGCTCGCTCGAGGGAAGGGAGGCGGGGATGCCTGGAGTGAGAGGCAGCTCTCGAGTCAGTGCCTTCCCGGGGGCCTCCCCGGAGCCACGCGGACCTTC